GATAGTGCAAAGGCAACCCTTGCTATGAAAAGAGGCGTCTGGGGTGAAAGAATGCTTTTCCCAGATTTGCTGGTCCTAAACATGTCAGGGACATGCTCGGTGGCTCTTTAGCATGGGCTTGTGGCCTCACACACTCCAGTTTCCATGGTAACACAGGCACTCAGGCTATTTATACTCTACCTCCCCACTAGCCCACCTCCATCAACCATACCCTGCTCTTGGCATTAGTTATCAAGGAAAGCCAACTTTCAACAGTGCACTGGGTTCACTCAAAAGCTTCACCTTAGGAAGTTAAATTCTCCCCAAATTCTGGGACAGTCCTATGGGTGCCCAGATTTGTTCCTATTTCAATCTAAAGGCTAAAGGCATGGAGAAGAGCAAAGATGAGATTCTCTCCTGGGGAAAAAAAGAAAAGACCTCAGAGTGGGAATTATCCACTACCAGCCCCTGTGCGAGGCCATAAATGAAACAAGCAGGCCAAGAGTCTAGAGACAGCCATTCCCAAAGATGGCCTCCTACCTAGGCATGGTCACCTGCCCAGTTCCCCTAGAAGGCAGTAATTTAAACTGTACAATGATACAGGCTCCTCTAAGGGAAACTGAACAGAAACATTCCTACTCAGGAGAAAAGAATGGCTCTGCTCTGACACTCTGAGGTGTGCTGATTTCCTTTCAGGACAACAAAACAGCTTCCTCCAGAGCCCAATCTGCTACCATAGTCAGCAGCCATATACCACCTCATCTCCCAAGTGTGTCTCCTTGGTAAACCTGACTAACTGTGGGAGGACCTGCAGGGTAAATAGGGCCAATTGTGGCTTCCATTAGGCTTCATCAGCTGTCCCTGATACAACCAGTGTCTCCCAATCCTCTTTCCCTGCACAGTAGAGGTTTTCAAACCCTATTTACTGGTCCCACTACAAAAATTCACTGCTGTGAAAGGTTAGAAACAGGGTCCATGGCCTCCACTCATTCACCCAGTACAGATCTGAATCAGAGATGTGGTCTGTCTTTTCATACTTATATCCCTCTGGCAAAAACACACCATCCTATGTTGACACTCCATCAAAACCCAGAAAGAAATGAAATTTTAAAGCCACAAAAAGAGGCACTTCCAAAGAGATTGCTTCAACAAGAAAAACAAACACAACAAACATATTTTAACACATAAGTTTAAAAAATTAGTTAAATACTGGCTCAAAAATAAAACTGTATACCAAGTCAGAAGGGAAACAGCAACCTTCCCGAGCAATGATAAAGAGTTTTTTTAATTAAGTTTCCCAGAAGACTCCACAGGTTAGAATAGTCACATATTAAAGGATACAGAAGGTTATGCTGTTATTTTGTAACTGGGTCACAGCTTCTGTAAGAAAAAATGACCTATAATACCCTTAAAACAAGAGAATGACTATTCAATAAATAAAAAAAACCACACATACCCAAATACATACGTCAACTGCCCAAGGGGTCAGTTGTATAAAAGCATACACAGATGGTAAACTTCTCTCTCACCACCCTCACCCAGACCACCACCCACTGGTTACTGACTCCATTCATCCAAACCATGTATCCTCAGTCTCTCAAACATAGTAAATCCCCTGGGTAACAAGAAGGTATCCGGATACAGATCTGCTCTCTCTGCCTAATGCCACTAGGGTAGAACACACTTAAAGGAAGTTTCATATTAAGGAGTACTTTGATTTGGTTATACCAAAAGGGGTTTCTGTTTGGCACTATATACCTAGTACAATTTTTAAAAAATTTTTCTCAAGCAAAACCAAACAAAGTCAAACAGAAACCCAGACAAATGAATTTGCTAATGAATATCTGAAACTGCTCTGGAGAAAGGCACTTAAAATCTATTTTTGATTCTTACACCTCTTGTGTGCCCAAGGTATCCAGTTGGAAGGCAAATACTACAAGAAGATTTTTAACAATCTTAAGAATAATCAGAGGGGGAAAAGATTATTTTCCAAGGTGCAACAGCTAGGT